CCTCTCTCATTTTCATGCTATATTTTTTAAGTGTCTCCCGGACCATTTTGTATTCAACTTCTTAAAAGTTTCGGTGAGCATTGATTCATACCGTCAACAAGAAGAGGAGCACCGCGGTCACAACCAAAGGAGATTTTCCAGAGAAAACTAACCAACGTGGGAGAAACAAAGGAAGTGGTAGAAGAGCTTGTGCAATGGAGCATATAGGAGATGTGTGCACAAATAATGGACCAGGTGTCAAGACCGATTGGTGAAGTTTTGAGAGTCATTACAACTTTGAGGGAGAGTCGGCACCACTAGAAGCAAAACCCCCCAAAGAAGTAGCGCCGATCCTCAACGAGAGAAGACTCAATCACGGCCTAGAGAGGGTTGAGGATTCACTGTACCAAGATAGTGTTGGATCAGCGGAGGTAGAGAGACAATGCTTTGGGTGCACTGCTGCCTTGCGGCAACAAGAGAACCCATTCTCCCACTAGATCTCAAGGTTCAAGGCCAAGGGATAAGTTCAAACTACCTGGTTTAGAGAGCTGCAGTGGTCGGTTAAACCTAGTCGATGAAATCACTTCCTTTGAGTCAGCCATGCGCTTGCTCAAGATCTAGGAAGAGTTCAAGTGACTTCTATTCTTCACCACTTTAAGGTCGTCAGCCTTTAAGTGATTCCACTCACTTATAGTTGGAAGCATTCGTAACTTCATTAAATTCAAGAGATTGTTCTTGGGACAATTTGTCAGCACCCAAAAAACCGCAAAGGGCATGCAATCCATGTGTCAACTCAAGCAAGGTCTTCATGAGAGCATGTGCTCATTCATTTCACGCTTCTAGAGGGAAATGTTGGTGATGAATGACCACCGAATTGATGCAGCCAAATCCGTCCTAAAGCAAGGCTTTAGAACCATGGAGTTTTCATACAACCTTATTCTGCACGACCCACAGAGACTTGGCCAAACTATTGGAGATGGCCAACAAACACATCCTCGTGCAGGAGTCCACACCCGAGAGAGAATAGAAAGAGCTTCAGGACCATAAAAGTGCCCCCCTCTCCCGAGCCGTGAGTCGAAGCTAAGTGAGGACCATAGACTGCCCGTCAAGCTTCAGTATGTAGATGGTCAATCCTATTGGGCCAATAGAGGGTCCACTTGAAACATACATCAGAGGGGTCATAACAAGGAAGTGTGATCCATGGTTGGCCCAGTATTATGAGAGGTCAGCACAGTATTATAAGAAAACGTATTTTGAGTTTCAGGGCTTACAGAATATCTCACTTATGGTATCTATGCTAGAGAATGTGAACACCATCCAGGATAAGGAATACCTCAACGAAGCCACACCAATGAGAGTCAGAGGTTTTCTCTGGGACATAATGAAATATTATCAGTATCGTCAAGATCACGATCACAACACAGAGTGCAGACACCTTTGGAGTCTCATCGAGGAGTTAATCAAGGAAGGAAAATTGAAGAAGTTTGTGGCATATGGATACCCAAGTTAGAGACACGACAATGTCTCGGATAAAGAAGCTCTACCAGGACCCATCCGGACGAATGTCATCCGCGGCACCCCAAACCATATTTGGAGGAACAAAGTCCTCCCGACAAAACTTCCAGGAGAGGCCCAAGTATGAGGAACCATGTAACCTTGCATCCATGCATTGAAGGGGGAGTTGCCCTTCCATCACATTCATAGATGAAGATTTGCCCCAACAAGGAAACCCCTACAATGAAGCAAACATTATAACAACGATAATCAACAACTTCCAAGTTGAAACTATTTTCATCAACATTGGCAGTTCTGTGAACATTCTGTTCAAGTCAGTGTTTGATAGGCTTAACATTCTAACCGACCAGCTGGTACCACTAGCCGGCCTATTGTATGGCTTTTAGGTGAAAGGAAGGAGCCTTTGGACATAATGCTACTGGTGATTACTCGGGGAGAAAGAGAGAATCATTTTATGGAGACTAAGAATTTTTTGATAGTGCACTTGCCTCCTAGCTATAATGTTATCTTTGGCCTCCCACTGCTGAATAGCTTCAGGACCGTAGTGTTCACCTACTTCACTGTGGTCAACTTCCCAAAAGACAGGGAAGTGATACCTACCAGAAGGAGACTTGGAGCAATCCCGAGTCTCCTAACGTCATGGTGGTAGGAAGAATGGAGTAAGAGCCGATCAGCCTACATAATTGGAATGAAGGGCTTCTCGAGACTAGCAAGACAACCGTAGAGATTCCTCTCTCCGATAATGAGAATGTAAATCATTTCTACTAGGCAATAATTTTGATACAGGGCACTGAGACCTGCTAATCCAAACATTTTAGAACTATTGTAATGTATTTACATGGTCTGATGCAGAGAAGTCAGGGAAACCGGTTGAGGATGCCTGTCACCTGCTAAGTATGAGCTTCACCATCCAAGAAAACGATTGCATTAATCGAGCCCATCAAAATAGAATGCACTGAAGCTGCAGGGAATATGGTATATTCAGGAGGTGCAGTACCCCACCACAGTCGGGAAATGGTGGATGTGTGTGAATCTCACATACTTGAATATCGCATCCTCAAAGGACTACTACCCTGCGTCGGGGATTGACGCCCTAGTTGCTGTGATTCTGGGTCATTCCATGTGAGCTTCCTGGATGCTTTCTCCAGCTACAACTGAATAAAGATACACCCGGCTGACGCTGAGAAGAGAAGACTACCTTTATTGTTGTTGGAGTTTTTTAGTATAATGCAATTCACTTTGGGCCTATAATGCTGGGGCAATGTACCAACATTTAAGGAATGTACACTTTGCTAATCAAAATAGAAAAAATATCGAAATCTATGTGGATGATGTCCTTTTGAAAAACTAGATGGTAGAACAACATATAAAAGACATAAAAGAAACATTCCAACATTAAGAAAATATAATATGAAGTTGAACCCTTTGAAATGTACATTTTGAGTCTCAACCAACAAATTATTGGTATACCTTCTGACCCTTGATGACATAAAAGAAAATCCAGAAAAAATTCACACGCTAATTGTCATGTCGGCACTAAGAAAAACCCGAGAGGTTCAAAAGTGAACCGGCCAGATCGTCACTCCTTACAAGTTCATCTCAAGTTCAGGTGACAAGTTTGCAACATTATTTGAAACCCTTATGAATGTTGAAAGATTTAGGTGGACAGATGAGTGTCAACAAGCTTCACATATGAAATTAAAGCAATTCAAAACAATTTCAATTCTTTACATGAGAATTTCTCATTGCAGGGAGAAAGACAAAGCAAACTACTCAGATTTCTTGAGGATGTTACAACAAAACATGAATTTTTATATAAAAATAAGTTTACACAACAAGAACAATTAAAACAAGTACAAACTACTTTCTCAATCACCTCCCTAATCAAATCCTTTGAAGTTCATTTTAATCAATTTCTCTCCTTACAATATCACTCAATTTTTTCTTAGAAATGTAATGAAGAAAAAATTTCTCACTATCATTCTCCTCTTACAACTCTAAGAGATAATCTTCTCTTTCTCTCTTCTTCACTTACTCTCCTCTTCTTCTCCTTTTGTCGGCACCCCTTTTCTGTAATAAAATCACTATTATATAGTACATGGTCGAATTTCCAAGAGTCACCTTTGGTGCCCTTTCAAAATTCGTCCAAATTTAATGAATTTTTGGAAGAAACTGTTTCTAGCGCCTAGCACCTAACTGTGTCGCCTAGGCGCCACTTTTTCTATAATTTGATGCTTTTAACTTCAAATTCCTTTCTTTTTGCTTCTTTTAACTCCAACTACCCCGACTTATTATACCTGCAATAAAAATATAGAAATATCTTTCATTAAAGCGTAATATAACTAAAAATAGACATTAAATGTGTCTATAAAAGTAGCATATTTGTAGGCATGTCAGTCCCCCCTCATCCTTATAAATAAAGCGTTCATTTCTTGAATGAGATTTACATGATTTTACTGTTCTATACTATGATTTTGCTCTCTCTATTTCCCTCTCTCTCTCTCCCCTTTTCGTGCTCTATTTTATAGTACATTTTCTCTCTCTTTCTCTGTGTGTCTGTCAGACAATTTTAGGCTCAACAAAATTATAAAGTTTTTGAGTCATCAAAATTATCAATATCCAGTTTTATTTCCATCACACTCAAAGCCATTGTTTTTTTATCATATATTGGGACAATATAGTGTTCTTAGCTTTAATTGAATAAAAAAATAACAATAGAAGTGAGTAAGAGGAACAACAAAGTAATTGAGTATGAGATCCAACTAAAATACATGAAAATTTATGTGATTCAACATCAAACAAGTCTATCTAACGCTCACACAATGATGAAAATTTTCCAATAAACATAGTTTTTATCATAGCATACTGAATTGAGGTTACCAATGTTGATGATTGGAGATACGATTTGAGAATAAATTCCCCATTGAGTCAAAGGACATTTCTCTTCTCTTTGCTGAAAAAAGCCAAGCACCCCTCTCCCATCATATCGTAGGTAGAAGAAGTCTGCACTATAACTCCCTCCTGCAAAGAAACATAAATCTTCTCTTGTAGTAGTAGTCAAACTCCATTTTCAAACCTATTTACTATATCTGAGGGTCGATGTGGTGGTCATTAGCTAAAACACTCGACTGCTACAATGTTTGGCTTCTACACTACTTCATTGCTAAAAGTTATGAATTCCATGCCTTTTCTGTCTTGATACATCTGCTTCGTGTGGGAAATATAAAGAGGTTGTCCGGGTGGGTTTTTACAGCAGCAAAGCAACACGAAGTATAGAAAACATTTAACCCAACCTACAAGTCAAGAATAAAACCTTCAATTAAATCTATTTGTCTCAATTTTCAAAATAAGACTCAATCAACGCTTAAAAAACATTATTGCAATTGTAATGAGTTCGGTTAAAGCAAAGAATAAAATTTGGCTCAATATCACAAAATATTCATATCTAACTGACTACACCTAATGTTTCAACTTCATAAACAAACACATCTTTCATGTCGTTGCAGATCAAACTTGCATCTGTTCAGCTTGCAAAGAAGTACATGAAAAGGGTAGCTTCAGAGCTTGATGCTCTGAACAACACAGAGAAAGAACCAAATAGGGAATTTTTGCTCCTGCAAGGAGTGCGATTTGCTTTCCGAGTTCATCAGGCAAGACTGCTAGCAAAATCAATCTTTTTCTCTTTTTATTTCCATAGAGTCCACTATATATTTTCCCTAAAAAATTATAGTGCACTATAAACTACAACAAATATTTTTCATAATAAAAGCAAATTTTATTTCTATTTTACAGTTCGCCGGAGGATTCGATTCGGAGAGTATGCGAGCTTTTGAAGAATTAAGAGGCCGCATAAACAAGCAGAAAAGTGAAGATATGGTCGAGCAAGGGTAGGTTGCTTTGGAATTTCTTTCGCAAGCTGACAGAAGTCCATGTAAAGGAGATGAAATATTTTAGTTACAAAAAGCTTGAAGTTCAGAAAATCTTTAAATTACTTATATACTCTAGTAAAATTCTCATTTACATCATCACGCATACCTTTAATGGTGAAGGAAAATTTTTATTAGAGGCTTCATAATTTTTTCATCTTGAATGTGATTCCTTATCATGTGAATAGGGCTTAAACATACATGAATCATATTGTTCATTTTCATAAGCATATCATATTTATCGAATTTTTAGTCAACTATTTCATGCATTTTAAACTATCATTAAAAAAACATCTTCAATATACTTAAATATTCTTATAACTTTCGGGGGCGTTCTCTGTCCCATTTCTAATCTAAATTCTCCAGAAAAGTTTCATTGCTTCAGGAGTTTATTCGTGAACAACTAAAATCATCACAAATGTATAAACAACTAAAGTTTTAATAAGTTAGCTTAAACCATTTAAAAAATTTTAATGTTTTATATTTTAATACAATACTAAATGCATCATGCTTTCTTAATAATAGTGTAATGACTCTACATATGACTTGTTACATGAACATTTACTTTCATGAATCAAGTCATTGGCTTCAAAGGCTCGATACTGAATACACAATGACGTGATTGATCCAATCAAACGTTTGCATACTTTAAATACAACATTGGTGGGTTAAGCACATGCATTTGATCCATTACTGACCTATAGATTCGTAAGACTGGTACATCGAGCATCTGATCTATATATATTTATATGTATATATGTATATTGTCATTGTGGGCTCCAAAAATTGAACACCCCGTCCTCTCTTGAAAAGGAATGAGTATGATTGAGAGCTTACTATAAGGTTTTGGGTCAAATTTTCAAGAGGTAGATGGAATAGTAGATAAGACACTATCCACATATTTCACCCTTAATTTGTGAAGAATTTAAGATATCGGGTTTGAGGCTTCTAGGCGCAATCCCCAATGCTTAATTACCCCTCCCTCAAAGGAGAGAGAACTTTGAATTAAGACTAGTCATTAGGAAGCTTATTGAATGATTTTAATTTTTAATTTTTTATTTTAGTTTTTTGAGAAGAGTTTAATTTTGGTATTAAAAAAAGTTTTGAAAAAGTTTTTTTTTTTTTGAAAAGATTTCTTTTAATCTTAATTGTTTCTTTAATTTTAAAAAGAGCTAGAAAAATAAAAGATTTGAAAAAGCTTAAATAATTGAAAATAATTTAGCTTAGAGCTTCAATTTAAATTAAGAGATTTTAATAGGAATAATTTTTATTCAAAAAGAACTCTTAGAGAGTGGCATTCTCTCTCTTTTTGCTTAGGGATTTCTACATTTCAAAATTGAAAGGTTTGAGCTCGTTTAGTTGAAATAGAAAACTTTTTTTTTATATAAGTTTGCTTATACTTGGAAATTTTACAATTTTAGAGATCTTTCAATTGTTGTAGAAAAGATATTTCAGTTAAGTTGTTTTTAATTCAAAAATATTTCATTTTAGAGCACTTTTAATTTATTTATACATAAAATATTTCCTCTTCTAAAAATTTTAGATTTGCCAAATTCTCCTTCTTAGCTATTTAAGAACTTCAATCATTTTTCCTATACTCATCTCAACCACGACTTAAAGTTCACCTAAAATCATTGCTAATTGAACCTTTCTAGTGCTCATTAAATCTCAACATGATTTATAAAAGGGTAAGAGCAGCATTCAAGCACTCACACATGCAATTAAAGCAAGTAAAATCATGCATCCATGCAATCTATACCCACCACACATTCACAAGTTCTCATTACTCTCCTCTTTTAAATGCACATATACATCACTTTGCATGAAAGGAAGATAAGCATGAACATATACATTAAACGTGAAGCCAAGAGGCTAGCGCATGAGTGTGTCTAAATGAAATATCCACAGGGCTTTCTTATATGAATTGCATACACATTTAATTCTACAAAAAAGTATATCACATGTATATATCCAAACGTATATAAACATATATTTATGAACATACATTTATACATATATATTCAAGTAATCATAAAGTATGCATAAATATAAACATATATATACATACATACATACATGGGGCCTTACGCCACAACTACCAACCAACAAGCTACCAGTTGCGCGCTCACACACACACAGATATATATATCACATTTAAATTACCTTGTTTACTTATTACATATATATACACTATCACACATATCAATACATATATCCATAACATGCATACACTTCACACATTGTCACATTAAAGTCATATTATTTATATCATCACTTAAACGCATATGTTTGAACGTTAACATCAACACATGCACATTTCCCCCTTCTTTTTAATTTTACTTCTTCATTATGTTGATTATTTAGAATTTCGGGTAAAGTGAATATAGGCTGGTTAAATAGTTCCTTAGTGGGTTATTTTGGAATAAGATGGATTGACAAGTTTAATAGTAAGGTTTTTAGTAGTATATGTTTAATTAAATTTGTTAATGAGTTCATAGAAGTTAAAGCAATTTATTAAGTTTTTTAATGGTTTAATCAAGAATTTAATTATCTAATTAAACATTTTAATAAGGCAAAAAGGATTTTAATTATTTAATTAAGATATTAATTAGTTGATTATGAGTTTAAATGGTTAATTAAATTGTTAAAGAGTCAATTAAATTATTTAATTATTTCATTAATTTTTTAATTAGTTGATTAAGAGTTTAAATGGTTAATTAATTTATTAATGAGTTGATTTAATTTTTTTTATCTAATCAACTTATTAATTAGTTAATTATAAGTTAATCAGTTAGTTAACCATCAAATTAAAAGCATGTTATTTTCGAGCAAGTTAAACTTTAAGTTAATTAGAGTTTTAATTAGTGAATTATGAGATAATTAAAAAGGGATACGTATGTTAAGGCTCGATTTAAGCAATTTTAGGGGAGATCCTTTTCGCTTTAAAATAGATCTTACATCCGAAATAAAATAAACTTATCTAACATCGTTAAAGTAAGGGAAAAACGCTACTTTTGTGGTTTCATAAATCATGACGACTTTCATCATTAGAATGATTAGATCGATTCTAATTTATTATTTCATTGCTTCAAGGTAGTGTATTATTCCTCAAATATCATATATAATCATTTAGATAGAAATGTTTTAAGATCTATGGAGGATACTCAGTAAAATAACCCACCATGAGTACATATGAAGTAATTTTTCTTCTTTTAAAGTTTGGATTTTAATTATTTTGAATAATTTCTCAAATAACCCACCATGAGTACATATGATGTAATTTTTCTTCTTTTAGTGTTTGGATTTGAATTATTTTGAATAATTTCTCACCCTATCAATTGAAGTGAAATACTTGTTCATTTTATGCATTACACCTAAGCCATACAGTGCATAAAACCTTTGATTACTCGCTTTGAGGTGAAAGGGTTATCCTCGAGTTCTAATCGAGTTCTCAATTATTCAGGAGTCCTCTGTAAGTTCGCTATAAGACTTCATCTTATTTATTTTTTTAGTTTGAATTTTCTTGTTAGCTTAAGTACGAACTTTAAATTTCACTTTAATGATTTATTGGCTTAGAATATTTGTTGTTATATATCAAACTTGAATATTTTATTTGCTTAAATTATGCTTTTTATATGGTCCACAATTTGGCAGCACTTTCATTGCATGCCAGTTTTCCCTCGACCGGTGGCAAGGTAGTTAGCTGAAGCAGGTCTGCCTAATAGAGAAATGTGTGTATCGGAGGCTTGCACAACAACCTAAAAAGATATTGCACACCACGCTAAGAAATTAACCCCGCCAAAAAAATAAATCAAGAAAGACATGACAGGATTTCCTCGCCGTGTATTAAAATGCGTGTTCAAATGATTACTGTAGAATGCAAATTTTATTTATTAATACATAATATATATCACAAATTATTTTTATTTTTTTATTATTTTTGCAATCTTATTTTCTTTATTATTATTATTATTATTATTATTATTATTATTGTATTTAGTTTTTCGGAAATGTTTTTTTTTTGTCTTTTTCTGTTAATTGACCCCAATATGTTTACAGGCAAATCACACGCAAAATAGTTAAATGCAAATTTATTTATTGAATCCAAAAAATTCCATTCTACTTAAGAACATAAAAAAATTACAAAATTAAATCTTGCAGGTTCAGAACCTTCAAGTAAAAAAACAACATATAACTCCATGCAAAAAAAATAATAATAATAACAATAATAATAAAATTATATATAGTTAAATCATATTTGTATGTGAATCACATTCATAGAATAGAGTATAAGATAGAAGAAAAGTGAGAGAGACTGAGAAATAAACTATAGTGAATAATAAGTTAGAGAAAATATATTGACCTTTCATGACCTTTTTAGCTAAGCTTGTGTTACTCTTCCTTCATAGAGTGATCCCATTTTTATAAAGGAAGGGGGGCATGGTATGCTAAATGACATTTATGCCCCTACTTTAATGTGGATTGCATAGTTTACTATTTTAAATATGTTGGTCGAGGGCCTGGAGCCTATAGGGCTCGGCTGACTAGAATGATGGGCCCTTGGACAAACACAATGGGTCGGCTAAGAAAGAGAGGTCGTCCAATAATTTTACCTATCGACTAGGCTGTGGAAGGTGCATGTCAGCTGAACTTCTACTTGCTTTGGGCTGATAGGACTGATTTGATCAACTACACGTTGTTGATCGATTGGCCTAATCTTGTCATCAGCCCTTGAACCCATCGAAGAGAACCCCTAGTGAAAGATCAAAGCTAGGTTGTCGGGTAGAAGTTGAATCATTTTAATATGATAGTTTGTTTGCATTCAGACAATGAGATCTTAGGGAATCGTTAGGACTTGTATAGTTAGCTCTTGATGATAGATAGGGAGAGCATTGGTTGTATTTGATATAGCTATGGATTCGAGGGTTTGGACTTTTCATTGAGTCCTCTTCATCTTAGTGCTAGGCTAGGATGACCCTAGCTTGTGTCCAAATGAGCCACTCAGCTTAAATTATTTAGCCACTTTTGTGTTAATCAGGTTTAGGTAAACTACACCTTATTTGATGTTTGGTACTCTCAAATTAAAGTTTGGTGGGAGCTTCTTTGACATGTATTATCCTATATATGCCATTATGTT